CTGCTGCTGCTGCTGCTGCTGGGCGAGTTAGCAGCAGCAGCAGCAGCAGCAGCAGGGGGGCCCGTGAGGCCCTCCGGCAGCGAACCAAACCAGCGAGTTGCGTCACTGATTTTGTTTTTAATAATGTAGTCTACTAGAGCTCGAGTCTGCGGGAAAATGGGGGGAGGCCAAATGCTGCTGCTGCTGCTGCTGTTGCTGCTGCGTTCGATTGCACTGCTCGGAGACACACTGTGCTCAACTGCTTTGTTGCCTGTCTTGCTGCTGCTGCTGCTGCTACTTGCTGCAGCGTCCTGCTGTTTCGCGTGGCGCCGTCCCTTCTCTTGCTGCTGCTGTTGCTGCTGTTGCTGCTGCTGCTTACGCCTCTGCTGCTGCGTTGACGGCTGCTGCCCCCGCACACGCTGCTGCTGCTGCTGCTGCTGCTCCCCGTTGCTGCTGCTCTCACCCAGCAGCCAGCCGTGAGCTGCCCCAGCATGCCGGGTTCCTTCAGCACCTCTATGGGCTCCCATTGAGCCTCTTCGTTGCTGCTGCTGCTGCTGTTGCTGTTGCTGCTGCTGCGGCTCTTGTTGCGGTGTGTAGTTGCTTGCCGCATTCTCTCTCTCGAAGCCACTCAGCCATTGCTGTTGATGCTGCTGCTGCCGCTGTTGCTGCTGCAGCAACTGCTGCTCCAAGGCCTCGTGCTGCAGCACAGGGTCTTGCTGCGGCTGCTGCTGCTGGGGAGCTGCTGCTGCACCGCCCCGAAGGCTGCCGGGGGGACCGTGCCGCTGCTTCTGTTGCAGCAGCAGCAGCTGCTGCACTTGCTGCTGCTGCTGCTGCTGCTGCTGGTCAAGAAGGGATTTGTTCCACAGATCGTCTGAGTTCTCCCAGCCCGGCGGGGGAGGTCCAGCAGCAGCAGCACTTTGCTGCAGCTGCTGCAGTTGCGCCTGAACCTTTGCACCCTGTGCAGCAGCACGAAGACCCACAGCAGCAGCAGCAGCAGCAGCGGGGTATTCTTGCTGCGCCTCCAGCAGGTCCGAGCCAGCCCCCCCGCTGCTGCTGTGCTGCCATTGAAGGGGGGCCCCCACAGGGGCCCCCACAGGGGCCCCCACAGGGGCCCCCACAGGGGGCCCCACAGGGGCCCCCATAGGGGCCTCCATGGGGACCCCCCCAGGGACCCCCATAGGGGCCCCCACAGGGGCCCCCTTGCCTCGGGAGTCAGTGATGAGGACCGCTGGGTCTCTGCTGAGAGCCGTTGCTGCTGCTGCTGCTGCTGCCTGTCGCTGCTGCTGCTGCTGCTGCAGCGAAACGCCGTCAAAACCTGGCGGAGGGTAATGCATTTTGCTGCTGAGCCCCGCGAGCAAAGAATGAAGTGGGGGGCCCCTGGGGGGCCCCTCAGGGGGGCCCCCAGGGGAGAGGCAGCGGCTCTGCGTATGAGGAGGCAGCAGACTGTCTGCTGCTGCTGCTGCTGCTGCGGGTGCTGCTGAGTTGCTGACGCGCTGCTGATGGTACGCGTGCTGCTGAAGCTGCTGCAGTTGCTGCCGCTGAAGCTGCCTCAGCTGCTGCTGCTGCAGGTGCTGCTGTTCCAGCTGCTGCTGCTGCTGCTTCAAGTGCTGCTGCTCCAACTGCTGCTGCTGCTGCTGCAGGTCCTGCAGGTGCATCGTGGAGGCGAAAGAGTCGCCCGCAGCGCCTGAATGGAGCGCTCCAAACTCGCTGTTACTGCTGCTGCTGCTACCAGCAGCAGCAGCAGCAGCAGCAGGCAGCTCCGGCTCCAGTGACTCCAGCAGCACTTCCACAGGCTGCCCTCTGATGTCAGTGCTGAAGAACGCCGGCAGCTCTGTGACCTGCAAGGAAGCAGCAGCAAACTAAACAAACTAGCCAAATGCTGCTGCTGCTGCTGCAGCTGCTGCTGCCGCAGCTGCTGCTGCTGCTGCCGTACTGCAGCAGCAGCA